TAAATAAAAAATTACACCTTTGTCAATCTAGCAAGAATTTAATAACATAAAAACATTTTCAATCGTTTTAAATGATCTTCCTCAATTATATAAAACCAAACATTAAAAATAGAACACCAAACAATTATAGAACAAATATAAAAAAATTAACAGAAATTGTCCTTGAGGACTAAATATAAATAAATAAAGGACATAAATATGGTCAAAAATAACAGAAAAAATAAATATAAGTTGTAACATTGATAGAATTATTAATTATTATAAAATGATCTCCAAGCAGTAGATCAGGCAGTAGATAATTTTTTATTGAATTTTGTATCCAGTACAGTAATACCCCGAACTTACGCGATAGGTGGGACCGAGCGATAACCGCGTAAGTCGGGGTATAATTTCTCAATGTGTGTAAAATCCAAGTGGGATGTATGTAAGTTAATAAATGTTCTCGTTAATCTTATCTCGTCTTTTGATTTGTTCTTTGTTACAAGAAATCACCACATAGAGTCTCTAGAGTCTCTGTAGATATAACAAACACAGAAATAAATGACACAAAATAAATTGTAGCTATGTGTCGATTCCGCGCGACACGTCCAAACATGTAAGTTGAACAACAGTGTGGAAAGAATGAGTAATCAAGAGTTGCGTGGCGCTCAAACAAAAGACGAATCGACGAGATTTGAAAATCGCGTAACTCCGGGTTTGTGTAAGTCGGGGTAGCGTAAGTCGAGGTATCACTGTATACAGTTTGCTAAATATTTAACGATAGCACTAAATGCATCTTAGTATAAAATAAGACTAACTTCAACTAATAATCAGTGTGAATTACAATTAACTCTTGAATAACAAACATTTTTGTAACCTCTTCTGGGTTCTTCCTCGGGTTTTTCTTAATTGTAAATAAGCTGGATCTTCCAATATTCAAGAGTTAATCGTAATTCGCACTGGTTATTGGTGAGTTTTATTTCATATTCATCCCAGTGTAGTATGCAGATATGTATTATTAGTATAACAGTTTTGATTGTGCCAATTCAACATACCATAATTATTTTTAGGAAAAAAAAGCATAAATATGGCTTATCAATATATTACTGTAGATCAGTAAGCTAGATTTATCAATGTGATTGTTTAAAATATCATTGTGTCAACTAACATGCATTAATATCAAATAAATATACAGTAGAACCTTGCTTAATGAGCACCTCACATAACAAGCAAAACAAAATTGTAAAATATTACTCACTTAACAAGTGGTGTTTTGCATAATGAGTGACGAAAAGAGGGGAAATCCTGGATTATGTGCATGCTCTTTTAGTCTGTGTTTAGCACTTGTTCCGCTAGCATCTTAGTGTCGCTTGTGATCAAACATTTTTCCAAACTTGTGTTCACACATATTGTGCATACGTCGGATTCCGCACGATGTCTTCTCTCGACTAAATTCGGGTCCTTTTTCAGCTTGGGAAATAGCCAAAGGTATTTTTGGGTTATCCGACCAACCCCAGTCCCCAATTGAGTCGGATAATCGATGCTCTACTGTATTGAATTTCTTTGATGGAAATTTTGTGTTGAGGTGTAATTTCTTATCTACAGTATTTAATTGTTGTCACTAATTTGGTGATAGTGTTAGATCTCTGTAGGACTACATCATTAGTTTTCTTTTCCATCCAGGAGATTCGTAACATTCTTCTAAGTATCTTTATTTCAAGTGTTGCAATTTGGTTTGTAACATTAACTTTAAGGGTCCAAGTTTCTGCACCATATAACAATATAGACCAAATGTAACATTTGACCATCCTTAGACATTGCTTAAGGTTTAGATTATAGTTGCAAAAATAGAATTTCATGTTGTTAAATGTAGCATGAGTAGCTTCAATTCTGCATTTTACTTCTTTATCAGGATCTACGTCCTCTGTAATAAAGCTTTCTAAATATTTGAACTGCAACACTCGCTCTATTTGTAATCAAGACAATAAACAATTCTAAATAAGTTTTAAAAGTTGAAGATTAAACTGGAATAAAAGAAATGATGACACAATTATGCTTTGAAAAAGAATTTTCAAAGCATAATTGTGTCATCATCAGATAAATAAATGAATTTTATGAAAATTTATGAATTTTTACTTACATGGTTTATGGACCCAAAAAAATGTCGGGGTGGACAAACATCCCACTGCATTAATGCCAGAAAAAAAACTCAGTGCACTAACGCAGGGTTAATTAAACATTACTACATTTTTAACATGCAAATATTTTATTTATATATACCAAAATCTGCAAATATTCTCACAATCAGCTATTCTGAAACTCATTAACAGTTCAAAATGAGAAATCTTTACAATTTGGCAACAATCTAATGAAAGTTTTCTTCTCTATATTATTTCCAATCTTAATTTCATCATAGTTCAATGTCTTAGCACATAATGATCATGAACATTGTTTTATCATCATCCAATTTTCTTGTATTCTTTTATTCTCGGTTTTGTTTATTTTCAGTCAGCAGAAAGTGTTGACTGTTTTTTATTTTTTATCTAGTTGCCAAATGTTAACAAGATATTTACCACTTCAATCATCTCTCTTGCCTTTTATTTTTCACAGATAACAAATTCAATAAGTTGATAGTTCTTTCAGCCTGTGAGTCACAATGGAGTGCTGTATTACATTTTTTATGATTGAAAAATTCATTTTTCAAAACTGCAATCAAGCAGAAAATTCCAGTAAAAATGAGGTTTACATACACTTTTTCTAAAAGCAAATATAATCAATTCTAATTAACTATTAATTATTTTCTTTAAATTAACTGCAAGAAAGACTTCATACAAAAATTTGATAGATAGAATAATCATTTATATATTTTCTAGAATAATTGTTAGTTAATTTAACAAATAATTCAATTTATTTTGATTAAATTGACTTGTTATTGAAAAATATTTTTAAAGTAAAATTATTTTTCTTAAAATTGAAGCCACATAATTAGGACAGTATGTGTATCAAATTTGATTGAGATTTGCCCAATAGTTCTTTCTACAGAGAGCTGTGAATACCTACTATATAATTATAATCATCCTGTAAGTATATCATGTATAATCATCAATATATTATAAACAGAAAAATTACATTTTTTAGATATTCTATTTCTTTTAAACATTTTTAAACAATTAAAAGATTAATGAACCATACAGCTAAAAATACTATATTTTATTTAATTTTATTAAATTGTAAAAAAGAAAATATATTCTACCTGAAATGCTAACTGGTGATATTTTTGTTTTTCTACAGGATTTAAAGAATACCACCATTCTCCTAATATTTTGCTGACTGTCCTATTATCTTGATTCGGGTGTCGCTGATGAACCAAAGCTCTGTGACGCTTGCTGAATATCATGAATGCATTCATTGGACGGCGAATGTGATCTTTTTCTTTTGCCTGCAAAGTTTAAAGAAAAGATATATATATATATTACACACACACACTTCACTTCCTAACAAAATAAATAAATACAGCAAAACTTATTTATTTTAATATACATGCAAATGAAAACTTATTACAGAAACTGAAAAAACCACACAACAGGATAGTGATTTATTGATTCAGTTTTATCATTGATAAAATTTTATTAAAAATTTCAACTGCCTCCAAATACAATTTTCAATTACTTAAAGATAATTTAAATGGAATTATAAATAAATTAATTTTATATGAAGTTTAATTGTATAATATAAATAACACCTTTAACATTCAGCAATAAAAATGTATAATATGATAAAAACGTTTTCAACTGTTTTTTAACGGCCATCTTCAGTTGGATCAATATTAAAAAAAAAAAAAAACAACTATGGTTAAAGATGTTATTTATATTATTTAATTTATTCCAGTATAAGTTCTTGTTTTATTTATTTGTTTAATTGCAGGTATAATATCATTAAGTGAGAACTGTACAAATATTAATATTATCATAAAAGTATTTATTTACTTTGCAAAAACTGAATTAATTAATTTTATATTTTAATACATATACTTTTAAAATAATTTAAATTTTTAATTCAAATTTAAAACCAGAGTGACCAAGCTCTTAGTGGAATAGACAAAAGCATTCAAAAATTTTATGCTGTCTCTAGACAGAATAACATCTAAGCTTTCCCAATGGTAAACTACTGTAATCTGACAAGAATGGTGTCTTCAGTAAAGACTGGTTCTTGCTCTAATTATTAAGATGCATTAATGTTTCTTATTGAATAAAAAACTAATGAAAAACATTTAATACAGCCTGAATAGGCATGGACATTAGAAACAAATAAAATGTAAAACATCAATATATGAAAATATTCATGTTTTTATTGGGGAAAACAAATAGATGATCATGCTGTTTTATTTGTCATAGTGATTATAATAATATAGAAATATATTTAGGAAAATAAATTTTATGCTTGCAAATATATGCATAACTATATATCTACAAATTCAAACTTATTCAGAATTTTTTATAGTTAAATTTGTTTTAAAATTAATTAACTATATATATATTATAATTGAGGAAAAATTAATTAATTTATATAAATTAATTCAATAATAAATGTTTAACTAGCAAAAGAATGTATAAAAATAAGAAGAAAATGTAAATTCCAAAAGTTCAAGAATGTAAAACATTTTTTTGTTCTTTCAAATATTTTTTGATTGTATCTAAAGTAGCTCATTAATAAAAATGAAAAAAAAAGAAAGAAAACATTTATGATTTTTTTATTACAAAAATTGCTTCTAGCCCTTGATATAATTATATTGGTCTGATAAGCCCTCACTATTATCTGCCTCACGGTTGTGGATAATTTAATTAATATAATTTATGATTTTTTTTTGTTAAACACTATTTTTTTCTTTCCAACACAAAAAGCTGTGAACTCTGTTGTTTGACACATTAAACACTACAATAGTGGGGCAAAATTTATCACACAGCTTTTTATGAACAATATAGCCCAAATATGATGAATATTTAATATAATTTTATCTGCATTATTAAAAGACATTTTTTTCTCAATTTTTAGGCATGTTTCAAAATTGCAACTTACGATCTGAATGATATTTTTTCTAATCTTAATATGCCATCTTGTATGTTCATCAGCTTTTGAACTCAACAGAACTACCACATTCAAGATTGTGTAAATGGACAGATACAAATCCAAAAGAAATAGAATAATCACTAAATTATATTCCTAGTGTTTTTTACTGTTTATGTTCACTGATAAAAAATGAAGAGTTTCTTGAATATTTGTTTTTTTTTGTTTTATATTTTAATGATATTGTACTTATTCACATTCATTGTGCAAGAACATTAGAACAGGCAAATTTTGCTCATTCTTCATCTTTTATCGGAAAAAAAAAATTCCTAAAGTATTCTATGATAAAAAAATTTACTAGGACAAGTGCAATTTCCATTTCTAAAGGTCATGTTTTAACTATTTCCATTATACGAGGTGTGTTCAAAAAGTATCGGACCTTTGGTCGGCAAAAATAAATTTATTGACTTTGAAATACAAAACCCTAATCCCCTTCAAAGTAGTCTCCTTGGTAATGTATACACTTCTCCCAGCGTTCCTGCCATTGCTGGAAACACTGCTGGAACGCATCTTTTGGAATGGCCATCAGCCGGTCCGTCGGATTCCGCACGATGTCTTCTCTCGACTAAATTCGGGTCCTTTTTCAGCTTGGGAAATAGCCAAAGGTCACACAGAGCCATGTGGGGAGAGTACGGAGCGTGAAGAACCACAGGAATATTGTGTTTGGAGACGAAAGCCCGAATCAGATGCGCAGAATGGGCGGATGCATTATCACGATGGAGCTGCCAAGTTTTGATCGACCACAGATCCGGTCGTTTGCGTCGCACTGTATCGGAAAGACGACGAAGGACCTCCTGGTAGTACTCCTTTGCGATGGTTTGGCCTTGTGGTGCGTACTCACGACACACCACCCCACGAGAGTCGAAAAAACTGTCAACATGACCTTTGATATTACTGCGGACCTGCTGCGCTTTTTTTGGCCTTGAGAATCGTCCCTGAAAGCCTGCTGAATCTTGCAAATGGTTTACGCTTAAGTATCGCCAAGGTTTTTGGCAAAATTTAACATAATATTGCTGCTCACGTTGTTCAGTAATTTTCCAGCTTAGTGGAATCCGACAAGAGCGCACTACATGCCCTCCCTCATAGGCCGATTGCCAACGACTGATGCTTCCTGCAGGCAGGAAAAAATTCAGGGCTGTGCATGATTGTTCCCTCCACAACTCCATCGAAGGAGGCCTCTTGCGCATCATTGGTTTACGCGGAAAAAAAAAGGTCCGATACTTTTTGAACAGACCTTGTATTTATACGGCTAGTGTGTTGATCCAAAGTAACAGAGCTCAGATTTCAATGTACAGTCGACCCCCCAATAACACAATACATACGTTCCGTTTTTTATGAAACTGATGTTATACAAGTCCTTAAATACATGAGCCAATCACAGTAGTCCGTAAACAGCACGTATGCAGTTTATGGACTATGGCTGTTTGAAAGGTTTTCTTTTATAAAATTAATCGATTCTAGACTAATTTGACTCAACATTTCCAAAACACGTATAATTTTTTGGGAATAATCCATATAAACTATGCTATAAACAAAAGATTGTAAGATTACTTACAGAGTGTGCACCATTCGATGACGCCATTGCTTAAGCTTGTTTTCATCATGGAGCGGCACATCGAACGTGGGCGCACTTGTTTCCTGATAAATTATTTTTTTGCAAAAAATTTGCTGAACTTTGGAGACATCATTAATATAAATATAATTTTTATGGCCATTAAATAATAAATGGTTTTTAGTAGGTCTGCTGCTCGTTTAAACTCAATGGTTTGTGCAATATCCGCTATTGGTCTAGATTCGACCAATCCTGTCGCAACACAAGTCAGCGATGACATTTTACCGTTATATAGGAGTCTCTTTTAGCGTGTTTATACGAATAAGGTCGCAATTTTTTCACCGCTATATACAAATCCGAATTATATGAACCCGTTTTATAGGGGGTATACTGTATATATGTGTTACAGAAATGCAACATATGGCACTAAATAAAAAATTACACCTTTGTCAATCTAGCAAGAATTTAATAGCATAAAAACGTTTTCAATCGTTTTAAATGATCTTCCTCAATTATATAAAACCAAACATTAAAAATAGAACACCAAACAATTATAGAACAAATATAAAAAAATTAACAGAAATTGTCCTTGAGGACTAAATATAAATAAATAAAGGACATAAATATGGTCAAAAATAACAGAAAAAATAAATATAAGTTGTAACATTGATAGAATTATTAATTATTATAAAATGATCTCCAAGCAGTAGATCAGGCAGTAGATAATTTTTTATTGAATTTTGTATCCAGTACAGTAATACCCCGAACTTACGCGATAGGTGGGACCGAGCGATAACCGCGTAAGTCGGGGTATAATTTCTCAATGTGTGTAAAATCCAAGTGGGATGTATGTAAGTTAATAAATGTTCTCGTTAATCTTATCTCGTCTTTTGATTTGTTCTTTGTTACAAGAAATCACCACATAGAGTCTCTAGAGTCTCTGTAGATATAACAAACACAGAAATAAATGACACAAAATAAATTGTAGCTATGTGTCGATTCCGCGCGACACGTCCAAACATGTAAGTTGAACAACAGTGTGGAAAGAATGAGTAATCAAGAGTTGCGTGGCGCTCAAACAAAAGACGAATCAACGAGATTTGAAAATCGCGTAACTCCGGGTTTGTGTAAGTCGGGGTAGCGTAAGTCGAGGTATCACTGTATACAGTTTGCTAAATATTTAACGATAGCACTAAATGCATCTTAGTATAAAATAAGACTAACTTCAACTAATAATCAGTGTGAATTACAATTAACTCTTGAATAACAAACATTTTTGTAACCTCTTCTGGGTTCTTCCTCGGGTTTTTCTTAATTGTAAATAAGCTGGATCTTCCAATATTCAAGAGTTAATCGTAATTCGCACTGGTTATTGGTGAGTTTTATTTCATATTCATCCCAGTGTAGTATGCAGATATGTATTATTAGTATAACAGTTTTGATTGTGCCAATTCAACATACCATAATTATTTTTAGGAAAAAAAAGCATAAATATGGCTTATCAATATATTACTGTAGATCAGTAAGCTAGATTTATCAATGTGATTGTTTAAAATATCATTGTGTCAACTAACATGCATTAATATCAAATAAATATACAGTAGAACCTTGCTTAATGAGCACCTCACATAACAAGCAAAACAAAATTGTAAAATATTACTCACTTAACAAGTGGTGTTTTGCATAATGAGTGACGAAAAGAGGGGAAATCCTGGATTATGTGCATGCTCTTTTAGTCTGTGTTTAGCACTTGTTCCGCTAGCATCTTAGTGTCGCTTGTGATCAAACATTTTTCCAAACTTGTGTTCACACATATTGTGCATAAATATCAACAATCATCATCCATTATATAATAAACACACCAAACGATATGCCAAATTCTTGAGCTATGTAAAGGCTATAATTAAATATTAATATAAATTAGAAATTAATTTGACTAGAGGTAGGCAGTTATGCTGCCATCTTGTATTAAATTTAATGACCAATTCCAAATTAAAATTTTAAAATGTCTATATTAAAAATTAATTATTTATAATTATTAAATTTAATATAGGATGGCAGCATAACTGCCTACCTCTAGTCAAATTAATTAATTTCTAATATTTAATTATAGCCTTTACATAGCTCAAGAATTTGGCATATCGTTTGGTGTGTTTATTATATAATGGATGATGATTGTTGATATTTATGCACAATATGTGTGAACACAAGTTTGGAAAAATGTTTGATCACAAGCGACACTAAGATGCTAGCGGAACAAGTGCTAAACACAGACTAAAAGAGCATGCACATAATCCAGGATTTCCCCTCTTTTCGTCACTCATTATGCAAAACACCACTTGTTAAGTGAGTAATATTTTACAATTTTGTTTTGCTTGTTATGTGAGGTGCTCATTAAGCAAGGTTCTACTGTATATTTATTTGATATTAATGCATGTTAGTTGACACAATGATATTTTAAACAATCACATTGATAAATCTAGCTTACTGATCTACAGTAATATATTGATAAGCCATATTTATGCTTTTTTTTCCTAAAAATAATTATGGTATGTTGAATTGGCACAATCAAAACTGTTATACTAATAATACATATCTGCATACTACACTGGGATGAATATGAAATAAAACTCACCAATAACCAGTGCGAATTACGATTAACTCTTGAATATTGGAAGATCCAGCTTATTTACAATTAAGAAAAACCCGAGGAAGAACCCAGAAGAGGTTACAAAAATGTTTGTTATTCAAGAGTTAATTGTAATTCACACTGATTATTAGTTGAAGTTAGTCTTATTTTATACTAAGATGCATTTAGTGCTATCGTTAAATATTTAGCAAACTGTATACAGTGATACCTCGACTTACGCTACCCCGACTTACACAAACCCGGAGTTACGCGATTTTCAAATCTCGTCGATTCGTCTTTTGTTTGAGCGCCACGCAACTCTTGATTACTCATTCTTTCCACACTGTTGTTCAACTTACATGTTTGGACGTGTCGCGCGGAATCGACACATAGCTACAATTTATTTTGTGTCATTTATTTCTGTGTTTGTTATATCTA